AATCTTAAAAGTATATAATTTTTATATTTTGTTATGTATATGTTTTTCAATTTTCAAAGTCGCTCTTTTGTTTTAGCAATCCTATATGAGAGTGAACTATCTAGTGTAAATATTACTTTCTTTTTTGTGGCTCATCTATTGTAATAATTTTAATGAAAATATATTGTTATTGTTATTGACGTTTCAAATGTTTGATTTATTTAATAAAGAAGATATTTAAAAAAAATTCTTTTTTCTCAATTGATTCATTATAGTTTAATCTTTAGTTCATAAAAATATTGATAATACCTGCAAATAATACACCATTAGTGTCATTAGATGTAAAATTTTATATATAATTACTACAGTAGCATTGCAGCTGTAAGAGGCTGATGTTTTACATTTAAAGTTTTTTTACATTTAAATTTTAAATTTAAATATTTTTTTTTGTTTGATTTGTTGTGTGTTTAATTGTGAAACCCCATCTATTAACATATTACCACAGTGTACAAAAAGTAATGTTACTAGAATCTGAATTCTACTTATGTAAAGATTTCTAATATTGCCAAGCATTTTATTATAACAAAAATGTCTACCCAGCTAGCACACTTACATTGGGCCAACGTATGTAAAACCATCGCAAACGTCGGCTCTTTTTTCCAATGCAAAACCAACGTTGATTTAATGTCATTTGTCTAATCTTAAAACTATTACCGAAAAAACAAAAAACGTCTGGCAAATTTACATTGGTCCAATGTATGTAAAAACATCGCAAAAAACTGATTGTTTTTACGATCTAAACCCAATGTTGATCCAATGTATATATTTCGAGGTTGATTCAATGTATACAAATCAACGTTGATCCAATGTATGTAAAAACATCGCAAAAAGTTGATTGTTTTTACAAACTAAACCCAACGGTGATCCAATGTATGCGACCAAAAATTACTATTGCAAAATTATATAATTTCTTATAAAATCTTCCGTGATTATTAAAATATCAAACCACAATCAACACAAACATGATTTTTGTTTAAATGATCAAGCGCTGTCAACTTTTTTTATTTTATAATATTGTTTAAATATGATATTTGAAATATAATATTAGGTAAAAAAATTAGAGCTATATAAAAATTTAACTTCGAATATTATTGAATGCAACGTTTTGCTAATTAAAGTTCAACGTTAATTCAACGTAAATACAACGTTGAGCCAACTTAAAACACTACGTTGGACCAACGTAGTAAATATAACCATTTTCCGACTTTAAATAAACGTTTTATCAACATTAGTTTTTAGTTGATGGCGACGTCGCATTTGTAAACATAATGATAAAAAAACAACGTTGGCAGCCAATGTTGGACCAACGAAACGTGCGGTATTGTTCTAATATTTTAACAACGTATGTGTGCAGCTGGGTAGTCTACGATAATTGATTGAATTATGAGATTAAATCAATAAATAATCATTAAAAACAATTGAAATCGAAAAACTCAATTTAATTTATGATTTTTATTTGTTCAATTTAAATCAAAACAACCTTGCGCATGTTCAATCTTTTTTAAATTATTCTTGGTTTTATTAGTTTGTAATTAATTTTAGTGGATATCGGAAATGATCAGCCAAAACAAAGATTGGAGAAAATAAAATTGTTTATATCTTAGTGTAGATGATTCTTCAGATTATATTAGCGATGCTTTATCCTCAATTTCATATAATAAAACAAGAAATATAATTAAACTTAAAGATTTTCCTGTAACTCCAAGCTCCTTGAAGAATTTCAATGTTTGATCTGAGAAGTCGAAGGAACAGTATTTATTAAACGCTAAGTTTTAATTCAAAAGTCTTTTTGTCTTCATATATTAGGGTCAAAAAGTCATAGTGTTAATAAACATTTTATTATGCAATAATCAACATATCAAAGCTTACACCAACTTTGAAATCCATTAGAATTAACTTTTGGGAAAGAAAAACATAATATTGATATGAGCCTAAAGTTTTAACAATTGCCGATGGTATGTTTTTATTTATTATATAAACGTTTATTTATATTTATCTAATGTAATACAATATTTTTATAGATAATATTATTTAAAAAAGTTGCATCACTATTTATGGAGAAATAATTTTTAAAATAATTTTTTTTGTTTAAAAGTGCAGTCTGTATCTCAAACGTTAACGAGAGTTGTTTTGTGTCAGTGCCAGAATTTGAATGCACACCAGCAAATTCCATAATTCTTAAAAATAATATGAATCCATAGCAAGTATATATTTTTATCATTAAAAATTTGCCCCTTTGTCTTAAATTTTATTTGCTATATTAGTGATTGTTGTATTTACTTTCAAAAATTCTAAATGTTGTATTTAATCTGTTATATAGCTTCTTATGAATATTATTAACTTTATTGTTTCAAGATTAAATTGTATTCCCTCAAGATATGCTGGAAATATTGACACGATTGGCAAGCATTGAAGTCCAACTTGGTGTACTAAAAAACACATCAAATTTAATTTTAAGCATAACTAGAAAGAGTAACAAAGATAGGACAATTAACGAATTGCCTAACACAGTATCAATGCCGCAAAAAGCAGTAGAGAATTTAATTACTCTAGAATAAAAATTAAAAGACAAGAAAACACTTAAGCAAATGGTAAATATTTTTTTATATTCGTTTATGGATTTTGTATGATATCTTTATACAATTGATGTAATTTAAACAAAATACTCTTTGAATTTTTTTTTTTAAATGAGATTTTTTATTAATTTAAATCTAACCAAAAGTAACTTTAATTATTGCAAGGTTGTAAACTTTTACAGGTTAATTATTTGCGATAAAATGGAGTTAAAGATAAAGGAGATTGTATATGTTATTTACTGAGAGTAATTTTTAAATTTAGCCTAGCCGTAAAATTAAACTATGGCGAGAGAGGACTAAAAGTTGGAATATGAAAAATGTTGATTACATATGTTGCTATAGGTAAGTGATTTTGAAAAGTTATTTATTCAGTTTCAATTTTGCATTACACAATTGCTTTCAATTTGTTATGTTTTATTGGTGTATAATTAAAGAAACAACTAATATTTTTACAGAAACTGTGAAGTCAAATAAGCATAGCTTATGCAGGCATACGATAAAGATGTAGGAAAATAAGATAATAGCCGTGGATTCAGCCATTATCAAAACTACTCTAGAAATATTATAGGGAATTTTCTTATTCAAAGCTCAAGATGTTAGTTTTTGGTTTTATGTTTGGTGTTTGCAATATGAATATTTACTACTTGTAAATTATGTAAATTATATAAATAATTTTTTACACTTCTATCATACATTTTTGTTTTTCTTTCTTTACATATTACAATGTAGCGATGCGAATCATCTATTTGTAATAACAACCTAATTTTGCATAAAACGTTAGGCCAATATACAACATTTGTTGTTGAAATTCAGGATATAGCTAGTTTATAATAACATTTGCCTAGCGTTTTATATAATATTGGTCCAATGTTACAAACGATATTGGGCCAATGTTTTATTTAACGCTGGGTCAATGTTGTATATAACGTTAGACCAACGTTGGGTGAACGTTTTTTAGAACATTGGGCCAATGTTGTACACAAGTTGAGCCAATGTCTAACTAATAATCAAACCTGTATTAAGCCATTATCAAATTTCAATGTTGGACCAGTGTATCACCATGCATTGGCCCAATGTTGGGCCAATAAAAGCTTGCTAACTTTTTCATAGCGTTATTTTTGCTAAAATCTTTGTAAAAATATAAACTTGATGATTCTTAAAACAAAAGAAAATAATGAATAAGATTTAAATTAATTAAATAGTTTTCAAATATGTTTTTATTATAAATTTGTTATTGTATTTGGCTATCTAATACTAGTATTGCATAAGGAAATTATTTACTACTGTTATATTGGCCAATGTGTCATTGTTAATAATCTAAACTTTTTTCGTTAATAGGGGACTTTGGATTACTTATATAGCAACAGAGAAAAGTGTTATAGAGTGATTATTAAAAAATAAGGCAGGAAAAATTATTATATTATTTAGGTAACTTTTGTAGTATTTTATCTAAACGTTCTTTAAAATTATTTATAACAAAAAAGCTATTCCGAAATTTCTTTTATTTTCAACTAAAATAATACAGTATTATTTTTTTAGACTCTTTAGTCGGATAGGAAGTAGAAGTAATGCTATTTTCTGGGCTGGGTTGTTGGAGCAATGATAGACCATGAATAGTAAAGTAAAAACAACAAGAAAGGGTCACCACATTGCCTAGAGAGTCATCAAATTGTTTCTCTAGAGAGCAAGTTTGTTTTTCTGCAATGATCAACTTTTCGTATAGAAAATAAAAGCAGCAAAAAAAAAAAAAAAAAAAAGAAAGCCTGAATACCTGTATAGCCAATTTCTAATCAATATTTTAACCTAATGGTCTTTATTGAATATACCTTAACAAAACAAGACCACCATAATAGCATTAGTTATACTATTGGAATGGTTCATTAGCGATAAAACAGAATGCTTTCTTCTTAGGCTTTTATAAATAGTTACTTTTTATTTGAGGTACTTAAATATAAATATTTCTGAAATTTATGAAAATAGTAATTAATAATGTTTTATTTATGGCCAAATTTGCCTTGGGTGTTTAAAACTTTTATGGTAAGAATTTTATATTGATTTGTTATAGTTTGGTAGTACAATTTGAAATAAAAATCTACACACCTGACCAACAGAAAAGGGCATCACTCATATTTTTTCATCAAGTGGCTGTAAAATATTGTTGTGGTAATGTCACTCAGGCAATGTCTAGCTCTTGATCACAAGTGCAATTCATCAAAGAATATTAAATTTAATTTTAGTACCTATACGATGGATAAAATAATCTCAAAAATTAGGAACTGTATAGCTATATCTATTTTAAAACTGGAAACATCAATAACTAAACAAATACAATTAAAATTTGAAATAATTTGAAATATTGAAAATTTAAAATAATTAAATCATTACTTAATTGAATGTATTACAATACTAAGAGTAACACTTCTTTTTGAATATTTGTAAAGCCTGCTTATCTAAAAAAAATTGTATATAAAAATTAATTCAATATAATAATTTATTTAGTAAGGTAGAAATATTTAAAATATTACTACCACGATTAAACAAGGCTGTTAAAAAAAATTCATTAAAGAAATTTTATGTTACTAAATTATCAATTACCGCATTTTTTATTGTTTCTTTGAGTTCTAATGATTGCTTGCTAGTTAGATTAGAATATTGATCAAGGTATTCCACATCTGATAAATTTACGAACAAATTAAGGTCTACTGCTACATTAAAAAAAAGCATAAAGAAAAATTTAAATAAATTAGTTAATAGAAATAAGTTGAAGTTTGTTTTAATCTGGTTATTTGAAATAACATAATGTTTGCCGTAAATTTTAAATTAGTTATTAGAAATAAAAAAATGTGTAAAAAAAATAAATAAGTTATTAGAAATAAATTTTATTATTTAAATGCAAATTTACTTTCACATTTTTTGAAAACACAAGCTCTAGTTTCTGTATTAATTCCTTTGCAAAACACCAAACCACTCTTCTTTGGATTAAAACAATTACGGAATCTAGATACTACACTATTACCACCACATGGTTGATTGCATAATGACCAATCCGACCATTCTAACCAATTACCAATAACTTGAACGAATATATATATATATATATATATATATATATATATATATATATATATATATATATATATATATATATATATATATTCTAATAAAACAGAAAAAAAACAACAAAAAAATAAAACAACCTGGACATATAATATTATTTTGACAGTCTTCAGTATAACTCTTGATACCCATGCAATCGAGACTGTTATACGCTGGAGATGGACTGTTGCACATTCTGTTATATGTTACTACTCCACTAGGACATGGATTACTGCAATTTGGAGATCTTGTCCAACTTCCCCACATCCCGTCAACTAAAATACCAATTTCTATAATTTAGCAAATACTTTAGTTATATTGCGGATTGTTTTCTATTTGAACACATCAACATACTAATATAATTTTTTTTTTACCGAAATTCTGACTGTGGTGAAATTCTGACTGCTTCTTGTTTTTTAAATGGCTCCATATAAGCTGAAAATATCTAGATATAACTTTCATATGTACTCTATAACAGTTTAAATTATTTAAGAAAAATGGGCTCAAACCTACTTGCTTAACAAATAACCAGATTTTTTGACTAAATTCACATACAATTGGTAGCTAAATTATTCGTGACACCTTACATGTTTTGTGATTTTAAAGTTGAAATCAATTTTGCGATATTTTTAAATAATTTACCTTGTGTATTTTAGTTAATAATACCATTATTATTGTTTTAAAACAATTATAATGGTACCAGTAACTAAAATAAACTAATAGTTTAAATTTAAATAAGCGCAATAATTTTAGTCTACCATATCTGTCAGAAGTTGGCTTTTATTATTTAAAATCCCTTTAAAATATTCTACAGGTCTGCTCCCTCTAAATTGTGGAAGAGATCATGAGACCGCACTAATACAAGCAAGTCTGGGAAACAGTCTTCTGCCTCAGGTTCAAAAATGGTTCCTTGGTATTAAATAGTATAGGTTTATGCATGAATCGGCACTGCGCCATAAAGCTAAGAGTGTTACAGCTTTCTTAGATAAAAAAACTGTGGGCGTTTTGCCTTAGCCGAAGAGTTTACCTGAAGAAAATATATATATTAACTCACTATAGAAAATTTATGAGTTCAAAAAACGGGAATATATACAAGCAGAAATTGGTAGAAACCCTTTTTAGAGAATGGCATAACAACCCCAGTCTCAAGGAAAACGGAAAAGTGTGCATAGAAAGCATAGAGTTTCATTGCAAAATATTTTCATTATTACCTAATTTTTTATTTTAAAACTTTTTATAAAAAAATAAATAGCTATGAGGAAGTAATTATGTTTTTTTATATTCTAAATAAAGCCCTCTAATAATAAAAAGCGATAAAAATAACTACAAGAGACATGTTTATTCATTTAAGTAATTTAAACCTAAAGTTAAAAAGTAAACTGTTACTAATAATTTGGCTACCAACTGTAATTTGAGCACTCTAAAGAATCTCTGGGCCCTTGAATTAACTGAACTTAGCCTCCTGTTTGCAAGCTTTTGAAATTCCTAGCAGTATTAAAAAACCTGAGTTTGTGGTTCGACTAGGAGTAGATATCAACTTTGCAGGAGCTAAGACATGTACCAGAAAAAATCTGCGCGTTTTCTGATGAGGTGTTCACGGAAACCGTGCATTATTTTAAATAGCTAACTGTTTTAAAATGTCAATGTATTAGTGTTGTTTAAAATTTAAACAACTCTGTTATCAAAATAATTAGTTTTATTTGAAATGTCATTAAATCAAGATAATATCAAGAAAAAAATTTGTAATTTTTTGTTAAAAATCCTGGTGTATCAAACAAAATGTGCTTCCACTATACAAAGAGTGAAAAAAAATTGTGGCAATTAATCTTATAAAAAGAAAAAAGTTTCTCGTGGTGAAGAAAAGCAAGAAAATGTTGCAACTCGTTGTTCTTGCTGCTCTATAGAAAACTACGTACTAATAAATCTTGTTTGATTATTGACAATGATACTTATTGTGAAACTTATTTTCAAGAACACGCACGGGTAACCTGTTATTTTGGCCCAATTTAGCATTATGTCACTACTCTGGGATAACTTTAATCTGACTTAGAGAACATAAAGTAGATTTCGTTTAAAAACACTGTAACCCAGCATATTGTCCCGAACTACGTCCTATTAAAAAATATTGGGCTCTTGTCAAAAGAAACCTAAGTTTTAATGTAAAAGAAGCCAAAAACACTAAGAAAAAAACGGATTAGAGCTACCAAGAAAGTCCAGCTGAAGACTGTGCACGAGCTAATGTCGAGTGCAAAACGCAAAGTGCATGCGTTCTCATGTACAAAACTTTACAAACTTTCTTAAGTGAAATTTAAGAATATCAATTTATGTACTTTCAAAATATATATAACATTCAATATCAAAATACAATAATTAAATAACTATCCTTTAAAATGTCCATCCAGATTTTTTCTGGTACATGTCTTATATCAATCAAATCTAGATCATTTACAAAAAGAAATTGAGGAAGATGGACAGAAACATTATTATGTAAACTCTCAAATTGTATAACTTTTTTTGTTTCATTTAAATTTATTTTAATACATTTTTATGCAGTGAAGCTATTTCAATCGATTATTAAGCAATAAATTTGTATCAAGGTTTATTATGAAATAAATTTGTTTTAGTTATTACAACTATTATTTAGTTATTACTATTTTCTCTAACAATGAGTTTAAATAAAACATTTTGAAACCATCTAAAAAATATATTAGTTATTAAGAGTTATTAACTTTCTTTATTACTAAAGTACCTCATCATCAATACTACACTAAAGGCTGTATATATTTGTATTTCGATACTTATTCGTTATGTTTTTACTTGTAAAAACAAGATAAAAAAATCCAAAGCTACCTGTTCGTAGCCCTTAAGAACATACTTTCCGAGTAATTAAAATTTATAAAACCAATTATTAAAAAAACTAAATGCTGGATAATAAATATTTCATATCAAGTGTAGCTTTAATTTTGACAAATGACCTGACTAGACTAGTTTGCAGCCAAGAAGCAATCTAGAATCTTGTTTTTTGGTCAATCTTGAAACATCTACTTTATTAAAACTCTGTTTAAACCTTGTTTTGTTTTAAAACTGAAAAATTATGAATTGAGAAAAAGTTAAAAAAACAAAAAAATATAATTAAAAAAAACACAGCAATTTTGGTGACTCTAGTGTTGCCTTTAAAGCTTCGGAGATAAATTTATATAGTAAACAGAAAACAAAAAAAAAAACTTGAGTGTAATATTACTTCGTAGTTCATTTTTTAATTTTAATTTTTGAAAAATTATAAATTTTAATTATTTTTCTGACTTTATTACTTTAAAAATAAGTCTTGACTTTTATCTATGTGGTTAATTGTTGATTGTTGTTTTATAATAGTTTATTTTTGTTTTATATTATAATTAAATCTATTCTATAATTTAGGTTAGATTTGAGAGTTTGTGTTAAAAAAACAAGAAAACTAGTGTGTATATTTTTTTTATTAAAAAAAGAATTGCGTAACTAAACTTTTTTTAAAGTAAAACA